GTGTCCCTTAATGTTCCCTTCAAACAAGGTTTTAGTTCGCTTAAGTCTTAGTGCGCTCTTTTCAGCATCTAATTGCACAAATTGGTGTAGTGGAAGAAGATTTAGTATCGCATCTAAGGCTTTCGTAGGTGTGCTACGCATCGCACCTGTTGTAGATACCGTAGCCAGTCGTTGCAACTTTTCTAGTTTGTTTATTGCACACTTTTCCTTAGTTTTTGGCCACCATACTAATGAGGCATATGTAATTCTGGGTCGTATTATAGCCGTGTATATCCAATGGATCATTGCTGGCCGGGCAGCTGAGTTATTAACGTTCAAAATCTTTCTTAATTTGTTACATGTTCCATTTTCGGTTTTCACAAAGTGTACCCCCATATAGAAATCAAAGACGTAGTCCTACGTCAAAAAAACAATGACTTCTCTCGATGATGTCTCGGAAGCCATAGCTCTCCCTGTCAAATCGACATCACCATCGAGTAGAGAAAGACTACTCCTACCCGATGGATATGTTGTTTTGTGTAGGCGTGCCTTGAATTCCGAGAAATCCACGAGAGAAGTCATTGTTTACAAAGGCTGTTACGCCCTAATTCCAGCTCTATCTAGAGTTTTGACTTACTCTGCGCGAGAACGTCGTTTACTCAAAAGTGAGTAAAGGTGCGCCTACTCACTTTTGAATAGCCATACTTCCCGCTGAAAGGGCATGTTCGACTCAATTTTGAGTTGATGCGAGTTACCGTGTTGAAATCCTTGAATGTACACGGTAAGAAAAAAGTACCCAAAAGTAAGTTCTTTTCGCTCATCTCGGCACTATTGATCAGTTCACGAAGATTTGCCGCACTCTTCTCTCACCCGTAAGTTTTGACAGTTTTGGGTGGTTTGTTTTGGCTCCCATTCGTTGCTATCTCTTTTACTCAGAAGCAAAATGATAGGGAGCAAAAAGTGAGGTTAGGGACCGTGCACTGATCTATTGGCGTTGACGGCGACTCTGTAGCTCTTTACTCCTATGAGAAAATCCATTAGCAAACGTCAGACTGTGCGTGAAACATGGCGGACTTTGTAATATCCTTTCACTCCACCGAAAATTCCCATAAGAAACTGTCTATATTTGCTGGAAGAGCAAATTTGAGGACGGTGCCGTCAACGCTAATAGTGCAGGAACCCAAAAGTAGGTATAGCGGACCAACGTAGTTTTCATTTACTTGTGTGCAATTCGTATGGAATTTTCAACTCGCTTTATACCCAATAGTAAGGCTGTGTTCCATTTGGTGAATTTTCACTTAAATTTGACAGATGGAAAATTTTCAAATAAACCCAGGACCAGACTTATTTCTAACAGACGACGAATAAATTTTGACAAACACCTTCTCGAAAATAGGAAGATCAACAACAGAGGGATTTTCGAACATCTTAATTTATTTTCGAAGTGTCAAATTTAAGAAAAAATTCACCAAATGGAACACAGCCTAAGGCTCTGAACCATTTGGTGGATTATTTTAACTTCTGGTTAAAATTTGACAGATGGAAAGTTATCGATTAACCCTGCTATCCGAGCGTGGTTACTTCTGACAGACAAGAAGTTAAATTTTGACAACCGTGGCTGAGTTCTTCTCGGAAACCGGTCGATCGACAGCACGGGGATTTTCGAACATAGAATATAACTTTCGAAATGTCACTTTTAACTACGAGATAAATTTAACTCGGCAAATGGTTCACAGCCTAAGTTAGTTGTACCCAAAAGTAGGTAAATATGATTATACTCAACGTTCACTGATAAATTAAACTATTCCCATTTTGCTTGAAATTTAATCAATTTGACATTATACTCAGTTTAATCATATATGGAATGATTAAAAATTGATCCTCTCTTTCTTAAAAATAAGCATCTGATATTAATCCCAGTTTAATCATGGGTGATTAGATTGCAGATTATCTTTTTACCCTTCATACAAAGAAGGGTATAGATATCACTTGAAAAACCGACTATCGATCCGAGGCCCGGAGGGCCGAGTGTCATATACCATTCGAAAAAACATGTCTATGTGTGTGTGTGTGTACGTGTGTATGTGTGTATGTGTGTGTGTATGTAACGAAATGAATGCGCTCACGTTTCTCAGCTCAACCGATTTGGACAAACTCGGCGCCAAATGATAGGTCTTGGGGTCCCATTGAACGCTATTGAACGGTTTTGCAATCGGTGAACCGGTTCCGGAGATATGGCCGGAATAAGATCCGGTGAATATGGGCCTTCACGCTGGATTTAACGGAAAACGTATCAAAACCATCATGCGACACATCAAATTACTACAGAATTCAAAAATAAGATCAATGCAAGTCGTGTTAAGTGTTCCAGACCACATTGGACACACTTGGACATGTTCCGGGTACCCCGGGGAAGTTGCTTGAATATGAATTGAATTAAAACCCATTAAATCACATTAAAATACGATGATAAGGTGATTGGTAGCCTCACCAAATAGACTACACCCGGATATATTCCGGGTACCCCCAGGCAGTGGCGTAGCGTCACTGGATGACACGGGGGTGGGGGGCTTGGTCACTGATAATGACAATAAAATAAATAAACTTGAATAAGTAAGAAGGGTCTGATCACACCAAATGATTCAAATTTAATAAATTTTGATTGAATTTTAATCTTTTTTGTTTAAATATCAGTATTGAAAAAGAATAAAATTTAATACTGGCAAGATTATTTCGATTTTAATCATTCATGACTACTGCCGAAGTAATCATGGCTCGGACTCAATAAGGTGAAGCGGAAATCTGCATACTTTTTAAGCTTTTTTGATTTAATTTATCTCTGAGTGTTGGGTTCCCAATGACGTTTATATAAGGTCTGGGCCAAAGGGCTTATTGGTGTTAGTGAAATGTGCAAATGTTTAGTGGTGTTTGTATTTTATTGCAATGTTTATCTTTTTACACGAAACAGCTGTTGGCAGTGACGTATTTCTATCTGTTCTCAGTATGTTGGCAGTGACGTATTTCTATCTGTTCGGAGATGTTCAGCAATGTTTACAACATTTTTACTTCTAACACCAGCAAACTGCCTGTTGGCCCAGACCTTATATAAATTCTATTGGTTTTGCTCCACCATTTTTGACAACACGGTGTTGTGAAAACCCATTAATGGGTAAAAAAAATACCCATTTTCAAACCACACAGCAAAAAAAGTTGTTGAATATTACATCGAAACTGATGCAACCAGGTCAATCCATCGGTTGTGTAATATCACATTGTACGATGTACATCGATTTTGCGAACAAAATTACATCCATTGATGTAATATTGTATCTGCTTTTTGCTATTACATCATTATTTCATACATCAGCTTGAATTACGTTGATCGATATTACATTTTTTTTTGCTGTGCATGTATGCAGCTGTCAAAAAATGGGGGAATTTTGAAATCATAAAATGGGTGAAAAAATACCCATTTAAAGAATCAGTTCAGTGCCAACATTTCAAAGGGGCGTAATTGCTTTTGTAAACAATGACTTTAGCCGTCAATTTCTCGCGAATGAAATCTTACCTCTCCAAAATAACAATGCTAGCTGGTAGAGGAAACATTCATCTACCTGCTGGTGTCATTATTTTTCATGAGTGAGCTGTTATTCGTGAGAAATCGACGGCTAAAGCCATTGTTTACAAATGCAATTACGCCCCTTTGAAATGTTGGCACTGAGTTCACGGTTGAATAATGGGTATATTTTTTACCAACTAATGGGTGAAAAAACACTGAAATTTTTTCGTTTCATTTCTGTCACCGATTCATTGGTGTCCGCAGCTTTTTAGCAAAAATGGGAGATCTCCGGAAAAGATTAGAATCCGGAAGGTTGGAGACCCGCATAAACGCGAACCATAAATTGACCTTACCTAAAATGGTTAAAAAAAATTATAATCCCTGCTAAACTTTAACTGAAATGGTTATGGAACTTTACATGAACGTTTAATGATAAAGTTTCAACCTTATGCATTATGGTTTTTTGGAACTGGACCTTACAAATAATGGGTTGTTAAGAACCATTACCGTTCCAAATTCTTGTTTTCTCCATACATTTTCGGAAAGAGAACTATATCAGAACCTTTTAACTTATGGTTTGAGAACTTTAATGGTAATGGTTATGGTAGTCAGTAGGGTCCACGAATGGTTTTGTAACATCGATCAACTTTATGTGGAATATATCGCGAATTGGTTGCCCGTAATTTACTGATTACCAATTCACGATATATTCCACGTAAAGTTGAGCGATAATACAAAACCATTAATGGACCTTACTGACTACCATAACCATTACCATTAATGTTCTCAAATCATAAGTAAAAACGTTCTTATATAGTTGTCTTTCTGAAAATGTATGGAGAAAACAAGAATTTGGAATGGTAATGGTTCTTAACAACCCATTATTTGTAAGGTCCAGTTCCAAAAAACCATAATGCATAAGGTTGAAACTTTATCATTAAACGTTCATGTAAAGTTCCATAACCATTTCAGTTAAAGTTTAGCAGGGATTATAACCAATTTTTAACCATTTTAGGCAAGGTCAATTTATGGTTCGCGTTTATGCGGGGAGGCTTACGTATGAGTAAATACGATTTCATCCACCATAGTGTATCATAATATTTTGGGTACTAAAATTTGATCGGAACACCTGCATTTATTTTCAATGTATTAGAAAGTTTTTAATATCAACGAGGACAAAGAACCAAGCGCTTGCATTCTCCTTTTGAAAAAATAGGTATTTTTCACCCATTCTACGGTAAACACAATTTAAGAAAATGGGTAAAAAACACCCATAGTTTACCCATTAAATGAGGAGGGGAACTTTTAGCAGAAATGGGTGTTTTTTACCCATTAATGGGTTTTTGCGAAACACCGTGAATATTAGAAGGAGAAGAGGAGACAAACTAGTCAAAAGTAGGTCAAAGTGAACTGGCCGCTGGGTACTTTTTTCTTACCGTGTCGAAAATTCTGCTCCCATCAACTCAACATCAACAGAGCAAAACTGCGAATTTTATATTGAAAACATCAAATCAACTTGGTCCGATTAAGATAAAGCAGCTTAAATAGACACGTATGGAAATATTAGTATTTTAATGAATAAAATGTTTTTCACAACATTGTTTTACAATTTCAGAAAATGTCTTCCCAGGACTCCGAATCCGAAAGTTCGCCTACACCGTATTATGGCAGCTTTAACTCAGGATCTCAATACGATGCAAAGTCAAGTTCAAGCGATGAAGATGCATCAAGCGACAGCGAACAACCGGAAAAACGGAGAGCCAGTTTGGGCGACAATGATCTGTACCGGAAGAAAGCTAAATTTAGCGATTCCGTGCCAACATATTCCGCTGCAGGATCGGAAAATGCTATTTATTCCGAACAATCCCGAAGAATGATGGATCGAATGAACTACGATAAAAACAAAGGTCTCGGAAAAAGTGGCCAAGGTCGTCTAGATATCGTCGAAATTGCATCTCAGAAAGGCCGCAGAGGATTGGGTAAGTGCTTCAGGAAATACATACCTATGTGGCGTGAACAACCCAAAATGTATTAACATAACCGAGGATATCCGAAAAGATAATCGATCAATGCAGATTGCAGATTGGACCTTTGAAATGTACCTACATCTGTAGATTTGTGTGTGATCAAGTTCTCATATAACAACTACTGTGGGAGAGCTTAGACTTGCGACTTATAATGCGTTTATTTTTCCAGGCTGATTTGCTGTAGCTTTGCGGAGCCGATATTCATTGTTTAGGTTACAAAATTACTTAAAACTATCGTTAGTAAAGCGGGGCCGATTACTTGCGGCTATCTCGAGGTTAGGAATAACAAATTGTTACAAATGGATGGCAGGGTAGGGATTAAGAACACAAGGTCTGGAGAGCAATGTACTCTTGATCTCGAACTAAGCGACATACCAGCCCAGTGGCAGGCGCGTAGGCAACATGTTATACAGTGACAGCGGACCCAGCACAGCAAAATAAATGATTTGAGCCCGGGACATGCTGCCTACTGTCAAATGCTACTGTTGGTATAGGCCTTGTCACTGGCCTGCGACATACTGATCAAAAAGACATACATGGGGGTACACCGATGGGCAGCTAACAACTTGGGAGAACACAAGATGACACTAACTACTAAATCCTTAGATCTATCCGTTTTAAAAACACAAATTAATTTCAAATAGTCGAGATCTCGGCTAACCAAGACATCTCTAACGGGTATCGCGGGTTGTTTTTCTCGGGCCCTGAGAAATATGGATAACTCAGATCTGGCAACACGGTGTAGGGTACATGACCAAACAACATGCTCGATATCGTGATAACCACTGCCACACGCACATAAATTGCTGCCTGAGAGCCCAATTCGATAGAAGTGCGAGTCTAACGAACAGCGATTGGACATAAGCCTTAACATAACTCGTATAAAGTCGCGGCTCATGTCCAACCCTTTGAACCATGGTTTGGGAGAATAGAATTAAACCATCTTTCCATTTTTGTTGCCAACTGATGAGGACTTGCTGACGAGCAATGGAGAAAAATCGTTGAAGGCAATTTGTCGCTCAAAAATATCGCCTTCCGTAGCGTAGCGCCCACCTTAGCCAACGAGTCCGCTTTCTCATTACCCGGAATTGAGCAATGAGAGGCGACCCAAACTAAGGTGATAGCCGTACTTGCTAGGGAGTGCATCCACTCCATTTTCATTCTTTACTTTGAAAGATGTGAAAAGTTCGTCGACCTCTTGTATCCAGGCCGACAATTCCTTTTTCTTCCAGAAAATTTTGAGAGGAATTTGAATGGGTCTGGGAGACAAAATCCGTCCCCAGGGCGGGGGCACGAAGCTCTGCCATTTCGGCTTTGAGCTGCTCAATTTCCTCATTTTCTTGAGGTGCAGGATTTCTCGGCATTTTACTATGTTCACTGTTCACTTAGGCAGTGAACCATTTGCCGAGTTAAATTTAACTCGTGGTTTAAAGTGACATTTGGAAAGTTATTCACCTCTATTCCCGTTTTCATACGAACCAGATTCGTTCGAAACGAAAGCAATTTCCCATTCCCGTTTTCGTTCGAAGCAATTCTAGCTTTCGAACATCGCACGTTCGAACGATTTTGTGCTATTCCCATTTTCGTACGAAAGCGTTTTTTTGTCCGCATGTCAAACGTCACTCCAAACTCGCGAATCGCGAGACAGCCAGGGGATAAAAACTTTGAAATTTTTTGTAATCCCTAATAAAAATGTTAATTTGCTTAACGACTTGTTCGGGGTTGATTGATTGATTTATCTTTATTAAGGAGGCTTTCAGCCTGAGGCTGGTTCGCCACCAACGTGTTTGGGGTATCATCCAAACTATTTGTGGAATAGTTCAATCATTTGGGTTATCGTTTGTGTATGGTATTTTTTTATAAGGGATGGCCTTAGTGTACAAAAATATCTACAACCAAATTTTTGGTGTTTGATTGTAATAATTTTACTTAAAATTGCGTGAAGTTAAAGATCTCATATGGAAATTGATTGAAAAATCATGCAATAAAAATATAATTTAGATTAAAAAAAGGATCGAAACAGCTAGAAAATTTTGGACAAAGGCATTTTTGTAACAGCTTACATAACAAATATTTATGTATTTAATAATGACCCCAAAACATTGCCATAGCCATATACAGTCAAGATTTCTATAGTGCGGATTCGTTCTTGCCGGATTCCTATAGTACTGATGCCAGTGGATTCCTACACCGAAAATAGTTTTCATGTAGCTTCCATTGGAAACGCACATGATTTTCATCCATAATCAAAATTAATGGAATTCATCTGAATTTCACATAACATTTATGCGATCACATTAATTTTATATGATTTTTCATATGAATTTCATGGACCTCATAATATTCATGTAATTTTGTGGTGGGATTTGCTGCTATGTGATCACAGGAAAGCTACACAGCAAAAAAAGTTGTTGAATATTACATCGAAACTGCTGCAACCAGGTCAATCCATCGGTTGTGTAATATCACATTGTACGATGTACATCGATTTTGCGAACAAAATTACATCCATTGATGTAATATTGTATCTGCTTTTTGCTATTACATCATTATTTCATACGTCAGCTTGAATTACGTTGATCGATATTACATTTTTTTTTGCTGTGTATGTGAAAATCACATGGATTTCATCCATTAGATATGTGATAAATTTTTTGAGTGTATAGTACGGTCGATCCGGCATTAACGAATACACGTAGCATATGGGATTAGAGCTAATTGGGACCAAACACTGATTGTACGGCAATTTGAAGAGATAACTTCCTGATGTCTCTTGAGAAGTTGTTAAGCAGAAAGTTGGCCACCTTTTGGGACGATTCAGTTTCTGGTAGGACACAAGTCTGATCCTGTGGAAGGTCCGGAATATCCGTAAAAGTGGCCAATTCATGAAAATGATCCTAGAGCTCCACGGCTTTTTCGAAACCACTCATAAATGTCTTATCAGAATGAATTCGGAGTTGTGACTGGAATATGGGCCCTGGGGACCACGGGATGGTTCACCGGAAGATCCGGAACATCCGTAAAAGTGGTCAATTCATGAAATTGATCCTAGAGCTCCGCGGATTTTTTGAAACCACTCATAGACGTCTTATCAGAATGAGTTCGGAGTTATGACCGAAAAATTGACCCTGGGGACTACAGAATGGTCCACTATAATATCCGGAACATCCGTAAAAGTGTTCAATTCATGAAACTGATCCTAGAGCTCCACGGATTTTTTGAAACCACTTATAGACGTCTTATCACAATAAATTCGGAGTTGTGTTCGGAAAATGTACTCTGGGGACCATGGAATGGTTCACCGGAAGATCCGGAACATCCTGAAAAGTGGTTAATTCATAAAACTGTTCCTAGAGCTCCGTGTTTTTGTTTATACCTTTCATAAACGTCTTATTACAATTAATTCGGAGTTTTGACTAGAATTTGGACTCTAGGGACTACAGGATGGTCCACCGAAAGATCTGGAACATCCGCAAAAGTTGTCAATTCATGAGACTGATCCATGAGTTTGCGAAACCACTCATAAACGTTTTATCAGAATGAATTTGGAGTTGTGACCTTTGGGACCACGAGATGGTACACCAGGAAGATCCTGAACATCCATAAAAGCCGTTTTTATGAAGACAAAAATATTAGCACCGAAACCATCATTTTTAGGTAGGGGAATTTACGTATTCTCGGCAACCTAAGCAGCGACCTTCTTTCTATAGCCTTTTTCTCTAAGGAACGCACACATATGCAGTATGGGTTTGTTTACAATCTTTTGCTGCCAGCTGCTCTAACAATTTCAGTCGAAAGAATTGTCAAAAACTGTTTTGAAACGCTTTTACAAAGCTCCAATCTTCTCTAGTGAGAGCGAGTATTGTCGGCAACCAGTTTTTCTTCGGCAACCGTTCCATTTGAACTGCATGTAAATCTGCTGTTCTATTATCGGCAACTCGAAATCAGCTACAATTTGTAGTACGTGTGTTGCATTTCAAGAAAACCTTGCTAGATTGCTTTTTCTCAGTGGTAAAAATATAGTCAAATTGAAGCTGAAAGCATAAAGAATCGTTTGCATGCACTCAGCGAAGTGTTTTCATTAGAAAATCCAGTGAAAATAGTGTTTCAATTTGGGTTGCCGAAAATAGTCTGTCATGCCGAAGCCGTCATTTCCCCTATATGGTGTCTTGGGGAAAGCTTATTCGTATTTTTAGCCGATTTGAAATTAGGGTGGTCCTTAAAATTGGTGAATTGAAAATTCAACCTTTTTTATTACTTGAGATAGACTAATGCAGTTTTTTTTTTAAAGTTGTAGAACAATCAATTTGAACCAACTTTGCTCACGGCATCAAATTTTTATCTCTTATGGTTCATGACTTATGGCTATTTTAAACAAGTAGGTTGGAGTGGCCTCTAGAAAATATTTCTTTAAATATTTTTATTGGTGATCAACGTATAAACAATATTTAAAGAAACCCGATTTTCTATGGGCCACCCTAACCTCTCGTAAAAACATTACTCTAAATACTTTTAGAACTTTTTATGACGCATATTTTTGCAGAAGTCACTAATTTGCATCTCCTTTATTTAAAAGTTATGGCTAGTTTTTGATAAAAAAAAGATTTTTCTTTAATTAAATTAAATACTTTAAACAAAAAATGCTCTCACAGTTTTTCCACAAATACTGAAAAAAATTAAAGGGTTGTGTCCTAGACACGACCGCAGTATGACGTAGAACCACACAAAATTGATGTTTGTTGGAAGAATAGTTGCGGATGTCGCCTGAATTTGCCGAATTCATTAACGTTTATTACCGAGTAATAGGGAGGTTATAAATTCCTAGAGGAATTAATTAACAAATTAGACATATGCGAAATTAATTACCCTAATCAACCTACTTTTAGCAATTCAACTTCTCTTCCACATAATACTCCGAATGCGTCTTGAGCATCCCTAGCTATGCGCAGCTTTAGCGTTCACTTGTGTAGATCTAGCAGTAGTTTGTAGTATTTATAGTATAGCACTAATTTCTCCTTAGTTTCTAGCCGTAGTTGTAACCTATTTGTAAGAACACTAATCTGTAAGCAAATCGATCTTTTCCCATACACTACACCTCACCTTATCTTGAATTTAGTATTTACGGTCAAGGTATAAACACTAGATAGATTAACTTAGGTTTTAGCACTAGATTATAGGACGAATTTAGATTTTAATAATAGACCTTCACTATATCATGTAATTAGTATCTTCTTTTGTCTGATTGGTTTGTTGTCTATCCTTGGTATCGCAGCCGATCCCTTCGCCAGCGCCAGGTGTGGCGCGCAGTGATGTGGCGTCGAGTGGGGGCACCGACGCTCTAGTTACCGACGGGCGTAGACAACACTCCCCCCGGAATGCGCGAAGGATCATCCGATAGCGTATTCGTCCTAACGCCTACGTCGAGCACAGCCAACGAAACTGCCGGGCGCTCGTATATTCCACCAGACGCTGTTTGTACTGTCGCCCACCGTACCTGTCCGTCTGGAGCCTGATGCGTAGCGATAACTCTGCCCTTAGGCCAGCAGTTTCTGGATAGCTTCGCGTCAACGATCACCACAGTATCACCGACAGTAATTGGAGTCGCTGGAGTGAACCACTTCGTTCTTCGCGTAAGACAGGGTAGATAGTCTCGTACCCACTGCTTCCAGAACTTGTCAGCCATAATTTGTGACTGGATCCAGCAGTTCCTCCGTAGCACGGGACTATCGTTGAACGGAACCCATGATCTGAGGCCGTTTGCTGACCCTAGCAAGAAGTGGTTGGGTGTCAATACGGGTGACTCATCACCGTCTACGGGAAGGTCCGTCAATGGTCGAGAGTTGACGATGTTTTCAACCTCCACCATCGCATTCTGCAACACTTCGTCGGTCGGTAGTCTGCTAGGTTGTACCTTAGCTAGGTTTTGCTTCACGCTACGGATCAGCCGTTCCCATGCTCCACCCATGTGTGGTGAAACCGGTGGAATAAATGTCCACTGGGTACGACTCGTAGTGAACTCGCTGGCCAGTCTATTTTGATCGAGTAGCTCGATTGCCGCCTTTAGTTCCTTGCTGGTAGCCTGGAAGTTGGTCCCACGGTCACTGTAGATCACAGCAGGAACTCCTCTCCTAGCCATGACGTTTCGAATTGCCATTACGCAGGAGTCGGTGGTCAGTGTGTGAGCGATCTGCAAGTGGATGGCGCGTGTGGTCAGACAGGTCGCGAGAACCCCCCACCGTTTTTCAGAATGTCGGCCCACCGATACTAATATTGGACCGAAATAATCCACCCCCATGTAGGTGAAGGGACGACTGAATGCAGCCAGGCGTGACTGCGGAAGATCACCCATCATCGGAGGAAGTGGTTTTGCTAGGTCATTCTTGCACTGCTGACAGTATTTCCGAACAGCGTTGTAGGTCGCTTTCAGTCGAGGAATGCGGTACCGTTGCAGGAGCTCGTTGACAATCGTTGCGTGGTTCTGGTGGTTGAACCGCTCATGGGCCTCAGCTATAATTAGTCGGGTGACTTGATGACGACGAGGAAGAATAATGGGTTCAGCAGCATCACGATCGACGAATGCGCACGCCTTCGTTCGACCTCGGAATCGGGCAACTCCGTTTTCGTCGAGGAAGGCACTTCGAAAGAGTGGGTTGTTCCGAATGATCCTTCCTTGTGGACTCGTTTGGTGATATCCCGCTGCCAGCGTGGCGATCTCGTCCGCGTAACCTTCGGACTGTGCTAGGCGGAACAAGTAGTTTTCAGCTCTAACCAGTTCCTGCTGAGTTAGCGACCCATTGACACGTTGTTCCTTTCTTGTGGACCGCTTCAGGTTCTGAACGTACCGGAGAACATACGTTGTGCGACGAAGCAGAGGACTCCAGCGAGAGAAGTATTGTGGATCGATAACTGGTTTTGTTGTTGATTCGTGGAATAGCAAGTGTGGGCGCAGCTCTTCGTCGGTAGTTTTTCCGAAGCCTGTCGAGACAGGCCACTCCTGTTGTTCTCGCCAAAGGAATTCTGGCCCCCTGAACCAGCGACTTTGTGCAGATAAATCTGGAGTTCGTGCCCACTTTGTTCCATCATCGGCCACGTTCAGCTTCGTTGGAACCCACTGCCATTCACTAATCTCCGTCGACTCTAGGATCTCGCTGACCCGGAAGGCGACAAATTGGCTGTATCGCCGATGGTCAGATCCTAACCAGCAGAGCACGTCCTTGGAGTCCGTCCAGAAAAACCGCTTCGAGACCTTGATGGACAGAGACGACAGTATAGTGTCTGCAAGCCGCGCACCAAGAAGAGCCGCTTGGAGCTCAGATCGCGGGATTGACAGGAACTTCAGTGGAGCTACCCTAGTTTTAGCTCCCGCCAAGGCACATTCGATCGTGTCTCCCTCATTGAATCGAAGGTAGACGACCGCTGCAAACCCATTCTCACTGGCGTCGACGAACGTATGCATCTCAATATCTGCTTCAACGGATGTCAAGGATCGGTAGCATCGGGGAACCTCGATGGAACTCATCTGTGGAAACACTGCCAGCCATGTCAACCATTTTTCGAACTGCTTATCTTGAATCGGATCATCCCAGCCGATCGCTGTCCTCCAAATCTCCTGCAGCAACACCTTCAGGAACATCAGTAGATGTGAGATAAATCCCAACGGATCGTAGACCATCATCAACATTCGAAGAACTTCTCGCTTTGTTGGTCGACGGCTTCCGGTTAACAAGGCTTGTTCGTATCGGGATGATACTTTGTAAGTGTAACGATCTGTCATGGTGTTCCACCACATCCCTAGCACCTTCTCCGTTGTAGGTTCCTCACCGATGTTCAGGTTTTTCTCCTCCGTTGCTTCACCTTTAAGTGTTGCCTGAACCCTTTTGGAGTTCGAAATCCAGTTTCGTATCTCGAATCCGCCACGCTCATGAATTTCTTTCACCTCTTGCGCCAGTTTCACAGCTTCCTGTTCCGTTTCCGTGCTTACCAGCATGTCATCGACGTAGTGTCGCTTGATGATGGCGTCGACTGCTTCCGGGTGATCCTGTTCAAAACGTTTCGCATTAGCGTTCTTGACGTGTTGCGCGATGCTCGGTGAACAGCAGGCTCCGAAGGTCATTACCTGAACGACATACAAGCTGGGTTCTATTTCGTTTTCGTCTAACCAGAAGAAGCGTTGGCAGTGTTGATCCATATACCGCATCAGAATCTGATGGAACATCTCCCTGATATCCCCACATACGGCCACCTTGAACTCTCTGAAGCGAATTAATACGGACAGAAGCGATGCCAGCTCATCGGGACCCTTTAGAAGGACCGAGTTGAGAGAAATGCCGTGGACCTTGGCTGCAGCATCCCATACCATGCGTATCTTTCCAGGTTTGTTAGGGTTTTCTACGACGAATATCGGAAGGTACCAGACTCGTGGATGTGGCTCTCGGAGTTCTTCAGCGGTCAGCTTCCTAACATAACCCTTGCTGATGTGTTCCTGCATCTTCGTCTTCAGCGCGTCCGCAAAGGCTGGATCCTTTATCATCCGATTTTCCAGACACTTCCACCGCCGGAGGGCCATCGCTTTACTGTCCGGGAGTCGGACATTCTCGTACTTCCATAGAAGACCACATTCGTAACGGTTATCTCCTAAGCGGGTTAGAGAATCCAACAGGGATCGAGCTCGCTGTTCTTCCTGCGAGAGCAGTAGCTTGTTTGGTTTGACAACCCCGAGGCTGTCAAGCGCGAAGTATGATTTCATCGCTTTGTGGAGATCATCATCATTCTCCCGATTGCAATCGCAGGTTTGGACACTGTGGTAGTTCAGATATCCGGCCGCCTCTTCCTTTCCGGTACAGTTGCCGTACACCATCCAGCCTAAGCGAGACTTCACTGCGATTGGCTCATTCTGCTTTCCCTCCCGGCTTTTGATTCCATGTCCGAGTTTGGCGTTGTTTAAACCGATGAGGATTCGAGGACTGATGTCTTCGTACGCTTCGAGTGGTAGTCCAGCCAGGTGCGGATATTTGTTCTGCATCTCGGTAAGTAGCAGCGTTTGCGGACGAATTTGAAGGGAAGACATGGTGTACACTCCCGACAGGTCGTACTTCTTCGAGCTTCGTACACCGGATATTTGCAGATTCACCTGCTGCGACTCGTTTTCCACCCTACGGGTTCCGCCGGTCCATTTTAGGCACAACGATTTTCTCGGCCCTTCGACGCCTAGTTCATTAGCTAAGTCTTGTTCCATCAGGGTTAGCTCGGATCCATCATCGATGAACGCGTAGGTCTGCACTGCCTTTTCCGGTCCGTATAGTACGACAGGAACAATGCGGAATAACACTGCCGACTGACCTTGGTGGACGTTGCAGCTCGGCTCCGGTCCTTTCGGTCCAGACGGAAAGATCGTAGATGATTGCGACGTTGATGACTTAGGGTCGTGGTACTTTTCCAGATTGTGGAGCAGAGGATGATGCAGGAATGTACATCCGTTAGTACCGCACTTTTTCTGTTGCTTGCATGTTCCGTTATGCTTTCGCAGACACTTGCGACAAAGCTTGCACTCTTTCACCGTCGCCCACTTCGAATCGTAGCTCAATCCCTCGAACCTGGTACATTTTGCAACTGACGGACAGCTCCCTTTGCACACCGCGCACTGCTCCTTGATCGGATCCTTCAGTATGGACGGCTTTGGCTTGCTATACGTTTCGATTGGTTTTGCGGCACTCGTTTCTGGCTCGGAGTGGAAGTTCAGGAACCCATCCTTCTTGGTACTCCGCCTTTGTTGATCGCGTCCTGTATCCACCATAACAGCACTTGCATCTTCCGCTACTGCATACAACCAAGCACTGAACGTGGCGAGATTCGGGTTCGGGTTGTTACGAGCATACCTCGCCCAGTCTAGCTTTAAAGATGACGGCAGCCGCTCTACTAGCTCGTATCGGAGAGATGCGTTGAAGATAAAGTCGTCGACCTCACATGCTCTGATTGTTGCGACCATATTCTTCACCGTTAACGCAAAATTCACCACTGTCTCAAGCTTTTCCGTGTTTGGTGGAGGCAGGTTCCTTATCTTCTTGACGATCGACTGTACTATCGCTTCTGGGCGCCCGTAGAGCATCTTTAGCGTTCCCAATACGTCTGCTACGTTTGAAGGAAAAAGTAGCTCGCACCTCACTGCCTCCAGCGCCTTCCCTTTCAAACACTTCCGTAGTCTCAGCATGTTCTCCTCATTTGTGAATCCACACATCTGCGTGGACGACGTGAACACGGAGTAGAATAAAGGCCACTCTTCCAACGTTCCACTGAATTCAGGTAGATCCTTGGACACCGCCTGGCGAGCTGCAATTTGGCTCCGATTTAGAATACAGACCTGCTCCTCTGGAATTGTAACTGGTGTGCCTGGTCTCGGATTGCCCGATCGAATCGGTGTCGAGCGCTGGCCAGGAACGAACTGGTTGGCTTCCTCCAGGGTACCCAAATTCATCGAAGGGACGAAAGATGGTCTGGAACAGCTCTGTGGCTGCATCTGCTGGCGGTAGAACAAGTCATGGCGCTGGTCGTCACTTCGTGTGCTTGGATTTAATTCCGGAACGTAGGAAGATCTCGCACCAGCTGCTGGCTCCCGAATCCCTTGACCACGATGGCTACGGCACATATCCGGTATCGTTCCTGGCATGAACACTGTTCCATCCTGGGGATGTGAAGCACGACGTTCATTCACCGAAAATTGCTCAAACTGTATTCGTTGCGCGGTCGGAATGGATTGCGGTTGTCCAATATTAGGGTGATGAGAGCTTTGCCAGAAGCGGTTGCATTGAGCACCTAGATCCAACGGTTGCATGAATGGCTGCTTTGTATGTCGTACAGACTGTGACAGACAACTCTGATGCGGCTGACCGAGCTGAACATTGCGAAGAATTGGTGGATTTCGCTGACGCTGGACGGCATCCGGAGCTCGGTGCTCCTCGGGTCTCTCCGATGTGTTCGGTGTTTGCCCATCTGCCTCCTCTACTGCTAATCCAGAATCTTCACCGTGGAGTTCGGTTTCGACTAACCACTGCTCGATCTTGGACATGTTGTCTTCGACGTCATCAGCCTCCGTAGATGTCTCGCTTCCATAAGCCTTCATTAGTTGGTACTTCCGTTCGAGGAACCGCCTTTCCAACTCGAACTCCTCCTCGAGTTTCTTCAACTCGAGTTCTTTCATCCTTCTCGATCCACTGGTGTTGGAGCTGACCTTGCTCTTTGACCGTAGCGATGTAGTTTTCTTCGGGGGTGGATTTACTTGCTGTTGTGCGGTCGTTGTATTGGTGAAACTAGTGGGGGGAATGCGTGGGACCTTACAGTTCGGACAGACCCAACTGACATTGGCAATTTCTTCCGAAACTTCCACACATATGAAGTGGAACCACCGATCGCAACCATCACACTGCACCATTTCTTCGTTATCACGCTCTTCACACAACTGACACTGGTAATCCCGGTTTCTTCGAGCGCCGCGGATTGGATTGCGCCTGACTCCGATCGCGGTACCGATGGCGGTATTGCCGACATTGACAGCGTTAGGTACCGTTGACCCAGTTAAATGGGGATTTTTATTATTGGAAACGTCAGCATTTACGTGGCCTTCGGTGCTAGGAGGGGAAACGATGACAACGGGTGGACCTGCCTGCCCAGAATCTTTTCCAGTTTCTCCTACCATCCCTGGTGTTGGCATTCCAAGGGCGCTGCCTGCAGGGCTGGACGACTTCTTCGACATTATAAAAGAATTTATAAAATGTTGGAAGAATAGTTGCGGATGTCGCCTGAATTTGCCGAATTCATTAACGTTTATTACCGAGTAATAGGGAGGTTATAAATTCCTAGAGGAATTAATTAACAAATTAGACATATGCGAAATTAATTACCCTAATCAACCTACTTTTAGCAATTCAACTTCTCTTCCACATAATACTCCGAATGCGTCTTGAGCATCCCTAGCTATGCGCAGCTTTAGCGTTCACTTGTGTAGATCTAGCAGTAGTTTGTAGTATTTATAGTATAGCACTAATTTCTCCTTAGTTTCTAGCCGTAGTTGTAACCTATTTGTAAGAACACTAATCTGTAAGCAAATCGATCTTTTCCCATACACTACACCTCACCTTATCTTGAATTTAGTATTTACGGTCAAGGTATAAACACTAGATAGATTAACTTAGGTTTTAGCACTAGATTATAGGACGAATTTAGATTTTAATAATAGACCTTCACTATATCATGTAATTAGTATCTTCTTTTGTCTGATTGGTTTGTTGTCTATCCTTGGTATCGCAGCCGATCCCTTCGCCAGCGCCAGGTGTGGCGCGCAGTGATGTGGCGTCGAGTGGGGGCACCGACGCTCTAGTTACCGACGGGCGTAGACAACAATGTTTTTCATGCATTTTTCACTATTATACTTTATCTTAAAATTTTCAAGTATTTCAATGTTTCGGTTATGGTTAACTCAAAACAATTTACACATTTTTCTTGACAAATATCCATGTGAAATTCCACATGATTTTTATTTAACCACACATAAACAGAATCCACTCAGAAGTACGCATGAAATTTATACGCAAATGAATAGTATGTGTGGTCACGCATGGTTTTTATATGTACCGTAAAACGGGGTATCTTTGATAATACGGGTAACTTAGATAATATAATTTAGAGATTAAATTTACTCGCTACGCTTTTTCCAAATTAGAAACATTGGTTCCATATTATAGCTTAGGGTATTTCCGTTGATATCATAATATAGTTTTATATAGTTTTTATATAGTATGTCTTACATATTTTACAAACATATTAAAAAACAATTTTCGTGTTTTTCGCCTGTTTGAAAAACCACTCTAACCATCACTTATGAAATGTATTTCAAATATAGCCATCACAAATTCACTGTTGTATTCTTATTGCTTATGATGTTTTCTGATTATATACTCATACAAAGTTTCATATTTAAAGAACTAAATTGTTTGAGTTTCATCCATTTTTTTCTACATCCATCGAGCATTATGAAAGTAATCCCAAATCAAAAAACTGAAGTTCGGTCACAAATCTAAAAAAAATAGTGCGAATGCTTTAAGTTCCGTTAAACATATTACTAAGGAATTGACTATTGGATCCTCAGTACTTGTTTTAAAAATATAAAATTTGAAAAACATTCATTGCTGTAAAAATTATTTGGAATATACTTTAAACAACTATCAATTTTACCCCGTTTTACGGTACATATATTAAGTATGTGGCCGACACATACACACTTAGAAATTATCGCCGACTTCGGTAATTTTTACCGAAATCTGAACAGCTGAACTTTTCGGTAAAATTTATGCAATTCAATTCAATTGCTTTTGCTTTTTTTTATAGGAGAAGTTGTTGAGGGGGGGGGGGAGATTGTTGTGAAGGGGGGAGGGGGAGAGGTTGTTGTGAAAGGGGGAAGGTATTTACATACATTACGCCGTGATCCACCTTTAGCCGCTGATTTGGTCCTGCTTACTGCAGGACCAAGTGCCACGCCGTCCGAAGCGACAATGAGCAAAAGCATGACAGCTGTTTTATATCTTTTCCGGTTCAGAACCTGATAGGATTTCCCGCAGTTTTTTATGAATGCGGCGGAGCAGAAAGTTTCTTTTGTGCAGAATATGTAAAATAGGATGGATTTTGGATCTTAATATAATTGCATTAATAGAGGCACCAGATATGTTTCACCGTCAGTTGTGTGTAATTCACCAACTGAATGTCATCGAACATGTTTTTCAAGCAATTTGTGTTCGAATTTGAAAGTTTCGGTGTGGGAAAAAATTAAGGGAAAAACTGTTGGGGTTTGTTTAAACTTTATTTTCCGGAAAAAAGTGATCGTCAAGTCCATGTCTTTTTCGGGTTATTGTTGAGGGGGGGGGGCTTAGGAGAGGTATTTGAGGGGCGGGCGGGGGTGGGTGGTTGGGGGTAGGAAAGATTGTTGATGAGTGGGGGGGGATTAGAAGAGGTTGTTTTGAAGGGGGGAGGGGGAGATTGTTGTGAAGGGGGGAGGGGGAGATTGTTGTGAAGGGGGGGAGGGGGAGATTGTTGTGAACGGGGGAGGGGGAGAGGTTATTGTGACAGGGGGAGGGTGTTTACATACATTACGCCGTGATCCACCTTTAGCCGCTGACCAGGACCGCTGACTGCAGGACCAAGTGCCACGCCGTCCGAAGCGACAATGAGCAAAAGCATGACAGCAGCGCTGTTTTATATCTTTTCAGGTGATTTGTGATTGTGATCAGTGATTTGATTCAGAACCTGATAGGATTTCCCGCCGTTTTTTATGAATGGGGCGGAGCCAAAAGTTTCTTTTGTGCAGAATATGTAAAAAAGGATGGACTTTGGATGTTAATATAATTGCATATATAGAGGTACCAGATATGTTTTACAGTCAGTTGTTGGTAATGCATCGTACATTTTTTTTATAATGTTGGCTCTGCATGTAAAAAATAAATTGTTCATACATTATTAGGGTTTGCTTCAAATTTATTTCCCGAAAAAAAAAGATCGTCATAGTCCATGTCTTTCTCGGGTTATTGTTAAGGGGAGGGGGAGGGGATTGTTAAGCGGGACGGGGTTTTACATGCACGTTTTTTCAAGTCTCATTCCTTTACATGCACGTTTTTCCAAGTCTCATTCCTCATTGTGGTGGACACGCCGTGATCCACCTTTAGCCGCTGACCTAGTCCTGCTTGATGCAGGACCTAGTGCCACGCCGTCCGAAGCCGTAATGAGCAGAGGCATGAGAGCACCGCTGATTTATATCTTTTCAGGTTCAAGCAGAATGATGTGCAACCAAGTGGTATTCGTTTATGATGACTGGGTTTGGGAAAAAGGCTTATTTCATGAAATCAGTGATAAAATTATCATTTGTACATTTTCAAAAGTTTAATTACAGAAAAATTGGAAAAATATTTATTTTAACAGGTTTGTAATGTAATATCCTATCGATTGGCGTAATTGGATTTTAATTTCATCTATAAATGACAAAGTTACAAGCGTTCAAAACCTAACACTCCTTCACCACACATATTTTTTGATTTGCACCCCAGTATAGTCGACAAAGACGTAGTTCTACGTCAAAAACACAATCTTTTAAATGAAATCGAAAGTTTGAAAATCGGTTTGCTCCATTTAGAGACATTGTCATTTTAATAGAACCATTTTTTCGAAGAAAATCTCCATTAATTTAAAAAAAAATAAAAAAAATGGCAGCCTGGTTGCTTCAGCAAAAATATGCGCCATCATAAGTTCTAAATGTAACCAAAACAAGGTTTTAACGAGAAATGAACTAATGAAAAGATAAAAAAATCATAACTCATGAACCTTAAGAGATAAAAATTTGGTGTCTTGAGCAAAATTGCTTCGAATTGATTGCTCTACAAGTTTTAGAAAATTGCATTGGTCTATCTCAAATAATTAAAAAAAACGATATGTATTTTCAAAGCTCCAATTTTGTGGACCACCCTAATTTCACTAACATAAAAAGATCGGCCAAACAATATGAAGAAACTTTCCCGAAGACACTATATACCTAATGCTGACGGTTTGGGCGCAAACATTTTTGTCTTCCTAAATACGGCTTTGGGACCATTGTGCAGTGGATGGTCCTCCGAAAGATCAGAAACATCCGTAAAAAGGCTCAATCGATGGAACTGATACAAGAACTCCGTTTTTTTCGTAAACTCTCATAGACGTCTTATAATTATGAATTCTGAGTTATGATTGGAAAACAGATCCTGGAGACCATGAACGCTCCTCTGGAAAATAATAGACAACTCATCAGAATGAACTCGGAGTTGTGACTGGAAAATGGACCCCAGGGTCCATTGGATGGTCCTTCGGAATATCCGGAACATCCATTAAAGTGGATAAGTCAAGAAAACTGATCTAAGCACTCTATGGTTTTTTAGAACTGCTCATAGACACATTTTTTTTTTATTTATTATCATGGATGATTTCTAGGTGGTATTTAAGTAATTAATAACTTCTAGACACTTTTAACGGAATTTTTGATGATCTTCCGGATCTTTTAATGGACCATCACGACCATCACGATTATGCTGGGGACATACAGTATGACCCATAAAAAAATGCGACATTGATTACAGCTTATTTTTGGGTTTATTTTAAAACTGTTTTTACCACTATTTTATATGCGTGTATTCGTTAGAATCTCTACTGTCAAGTGATGTAAACAAAACAGTGATTTTCGTTTTAAAAGTTTGCAAAAATGTACGCAAAAGAAATTGTTACCAGTTTGCTTCTCGCCCAAAAGTCAGTGAAAGAGATAACAAAGATCGTAGGATGCCACCGGTCCACTGTTCATCGAATTAAACGTTCTCTCCTTGCTGGACCACATCCACGGAAGACAGGAAGTGGACGTCCGCGATCGGCACGCACTCCAGGGGTCATCAGATCGGTCAAAAGAAAAATAACGGTGAATCCGGTAAGATCGATCCGGAAATTGGCAAAACAAGCCAATATCTCCAACACCTCGATGCAACGGTTGGTCAAAGATGACTTGAAGGCTTCGTCTAGGGCTAGAGTGAAGCGCCACCTGATAACGAACCGGATTAAGGGACTGCGGCTTGAGAGATCTAAGCGGCTTCTCTCCATCTTGAAGAAGAAAAAACCAATAATCGTGTTCTCTGACGAAAAACTTTTCAACATCGATCCGGTGTCCAACACGCGCACTGACCGGTTTATTTCGCCGAAGAAGATCGAGGAGGTTCCTGAGAACATAAAATTTAAGTTTACCACCAAGCATCCCGCAGGAGTTATGGTTTTCGGAGCAGTCGCGTCCAACGGCTTGAAAATGCCTCCGGTATTCATCAAAGAGAGTCTAAAAGTGAATACGGAGGTCTACATCGGCATTTTGAAGGACCATCTGATGCCATGGATTAAGGTCAACTTTGGAGAAGACCAATTAGTCGTTTTCCAGCAGGATGGAGCGCCCTGCCATACTTCTAACAGGACCCAAGCTTGGCTCACCGAGAACCTGAATTTTTGGTCGAAGGAGCTTTGGCCCCCCAGCAGCCCGGACTTGAATCCATTGGATTATTCAATATGGGCCTATGTTCAGGCTAAGGCCTGTGAAACCCCCCATCCCAGTGTGGATTCGCTCAAGTCATCCATTCGCAAGGCATGGAACTCGATGCCAGCGTCATATATTACGACCGTGTGTTCCAGATTTCGACCCCGCCTGGAGCAGGTGATCGAGAACCAGGGAGGACACATTGAATAAATGTATTCAAAACATGTCAAATAAACATGGGAAAGCAAAAATATATTTGTTTCAATCAGCAGTTTAGAAGGAATCACATTTAATTGGAAAAAATGTCCCATG